GACCTGACCGGAGAAAACCGTAGCAGGAAGCTAGCGAAGTCGTAGTATATATCGTCAAATAGAACTGTCCGGTAAACCGTAGGCAAAGAGGGAGAAGAGGACAACAAACGAGGGGTTGTGACAAACTGTTTCGTCGGAGTATATATATATATATATATATAAACAGTTTGTCACAGCCCCTCGTTTGTTGTCCTCTTCTCTCTCTCTGCCTACGGTTTACCGGGCAGTTCTATTTGTGACGATATATATATATAGACATTATGTTACTTGTTTCCGATGGACGGATAACTAGGCCAATATCTATGTCGAACGTCTTGTACCTCGGTTGTCCAAGATCGAGGAAAGCCAAATTTTAGCCATTTTGCACTCCAGGCCGTGACGTGGAATTAAAATATTCGGGGGTGGAGGGACACGCTTGGCGTTGGAACCCTCTAAAAACAAGTTAAGAACACTTTATAAAAAAAAAGGAAAAAAAAAGAAGAAAAGAAGAAAAACAAGTTTGAGGGGGGGGGTTATTTTTATTCATTCAACCAATCAATCAATCTACCAACCAATCAATCAATTGAATCGATTTTGTTGATTCATTGGTTGGTGGGTTAGTTGTACAATTTGATTGACTGATTGGGAAAAAAAAAAAAAAAAAAAAAAAACACCTAGAGGATGGGGGAAATGAGAATGACGTTATGGAGGAGTAGGGGTTAGGGGGGCTGCAACGATGAAGAAAGATGAGGCTGCAACGATGGGGGAGGAGGAGGTGGAGGAAGGAGGGAAGGATTGCAACGATCAAGGAGGAGCAACAAGAAGAGGGGGGGAAGAAGGAGGAGGACGAGTAGAATGGAGGGGGGGAGGGGGCACAATGATGGAGGAGAAGGAGAAGGAGAAGGAGAAGGAGGAAGTCGAGGAGATGGACTCGGAGGACGAGGAGAAAAAAGAACGGAACGAGGACAAGGAAGAAGGGAAGACGGAGATGTATGAGATGATGAAGAGGAAAAGGAGGAGGAGGAAGTGGGAGAAGAAGAGTACAAGCAAGAAGAAGAGGAGGAGAGGACGAGGAAACGATGAGGAGGAAACACCAGTATGGTGGACGCCTACTTTGCAAGTGTGTGACGACATGATGGGAAAAGAAAACTTGGACGAGGAGGGAAGCACAGGGTTACCGTATTGAAAGAAGGGAGTAGGAGAAAGAAAAGAATGCGGAGGAGGAGGGGGACGAAGAAGAGCAATAGAACGAGGAAAAGGAGGATGAGAAAGAGGATAAAGAAGAAGAGGAGGAGGAGGAAAATGACAAAGCAAAGGTATGGAGCTCGGTGGCTTTGGAGCCAAATGCCAATGCAAAAAATAAAGAAAAAGGAGGAGGAGGCAGGGCGAGGACAAGTTCCGACGTGCCACGTCATCTTGAAAGGACGTTTCGATGAGAAGGACGACGACCAGAAAGAGGAGGAGGAGGGGGAGGAGGAGGAGGAGAAGAAGGTGGAAAAAAAATTGGAGGAGGATGAAAACGAGGAAAAAGATGAGGATAGAAAGGTGGAGGAGGAGGAAGAAAACGACGAGAAAAAGAAGTAGGAGGAGAAGGAAGAAGAAAAAAAAGTGGAGTAAGAGGAGGAGGAGTAAAAGGAGGAGAGGGGAAGGAAGCGGGACACAACATACCTAGCGCTGCTCACGATGACGACGTTGGATTTGTCCGTTGACGTCAAGGTTTGGCAAAGCCGAACTCAAACGACCACTCCCAAATCGCGTGGGTCAAACCCGACTCCATTTCGAATTTGAAAAATACCCAATCTGAGTCGTCGATCTTCACGAGTTGAACGCCCAGACTGGGCTTTTTTGTTTTGGACTTTTGAGGTCCCACCGGCTCCGCAGTTTTAGTTATTTTTGGCTTCAAACAATGCTTGACCCCGACCTCGTTGACCCACAACCCACAAAACCCAGAAATGCCCCCCCGCTCACCCTCCATTTTTCCTTTGCCTTGGATATATTATCATGGTTGCACATCTCACCCGGTTGCTTGATTGGACGAGTCGGGCACTCGAGGCGTTCTCGGACGTCTGCGCTCATGATTACCAGCCCATACGTATGGAGGCCCTGAGGCCGACCTCTGTACATTCGGATGTTCGGGGTCCCGTTCGGGGTCGAAACCTGAAGGGGCTTGACCTTTGCCAAAAATGATTTTAGGGGCTAAACATTATGTCTTTTTTTGAAGGTTTTTTTTTTGTGAGCTCTTTATGATGTGCGGTACATGACTATCAATTTTAAAGTCATTTCGGTAAGCCAAACAAAAATAAAAAATTCTCCAACGATCGCAGTGTAAAAATGTGCTCGCCCACTTTTTTTTTTTTTTTTTTTTTTTTTCACTTTTTTTCGGGGCCATAGCAATTTTATTATTAATTATAGATTTCTTTGTGAAATTTTTTATTATGTTAAAGACACATCTATAAATTTTTAGGGCATTTGGCTAAGCCAAAACAAAATGCAAAATTACCAAATATGGTGATGTTTTAAATGTGCTCGCCATAATTCTGTCTTCCTTTTTTCTTACTTCTTTTATTATTACTTGTTTTATGTATTTTGTTTTCATATCCAATTTGGTAAAGAATTTGGATATAACATTGAGCCAAATGTTGTTCATTTTAGTTTTCTGCAGAATATATATATTTGTTTCAAAGTTCTGGCGTTCGGGTTCTGGCATTCGGCATGCCCCGAACGCTGGCTACCCTGCATATACTTATATGTATACATATGTCTAACTAAGTGCAACATTAAAGTCTCAAAAAAACGTTTATGGAACCATGCCCAATATACATATACTCTCCTAATGTCTTGAACTCAAGGAAAAGAGTGAGGAGAGGGGGATAAAAGACTATGAGGAGGAGGATGAGAGTTTCTAGAAGAATCAATGAAAAAGAATTCCGCGACAGAAAGGGTGACAACGACACAAGATTGTTGGGAAGGCTTTGCACAGACAGAAGAAAGTCGCTGACAGACGTTGCGCCGACAGCGTTCGCACGAAATGGCCGACCAAGGTACGTTCCATGCTTCTTTTTCTCCGGCGTGTTGTCGTTCGTGATGATGTCCGAAAAAAAATCATGTGTCTGTGTGTGTGTGTGTGTGTGTGTGTGTGTGTG